CACTTCAAGGAATAACGCTGAGATTTCTCGTCGACGAGCTGGGGATACGAACTTGGAAACTATAGGAATTTTGTTGCTATTGATTGTTGACTGGTCCCCGCGTAATTTCTGCGTTAACTTGTTATTACAGCATTTTTGTCGTTTTCATTCGTAGTCGACGAAGAGGGATCACGAATAATGTTACATTGCATTATAACATATGCACACATTATTAGCTTGGTTAATCAAGTTTCTTTTCTTAACGTTGTGAAAGTTTTCGTGTAATTAATAAAACAGATTAAGAACAGAATTAAAGCTAGCTTTATTGCAAGGAAATAGAATGGAATGATAGTGATTATGATAATACGAGTTTACGACGTTAAATAAAAGTCTTTATTATACGCATTCCATCACGATTAAACTGGTCATGAATTAATCGCATAATCTTTTTATCAGATTTATAATACTATTTAATGTAATATTTTGTAGCAGATTTATGAACGTCTCATTATGAAATTTTGACAAGTTTCGTAGAATTATTTCAAGATAACATCGAGTAAAATAAGATGATGCGTTACTCGAACAATTATTTTTCAATTATTTTATTTAAATAAGGCTTGTTAAAATAAAAAATATATAAAAAACTGCGTGAATATATATGTTCAAGCCCAAGGAAAAGGCGAAAGTATTGCACAAGTATTCCAATAATAAAAAAAAAAAATCTCTTGCTTGATTTCCAAAAAATGTCGGACAGAAAAACATTTTTCCTGAAAATCCGCAAAATTGTTCCCAGTGCCCAATATCTCTCTGTGTACAAAAATATGATTAATTGTATGAAATCGTCATGCAGATGATCTAAGACATTCGCACAGCACAGTATCACGGATGTATGTAAAAATTTATGATATTAATAAACTTGCTTAAGGGAAATAATATCCCACCATTCTCGGAGCATCACGTTCATAATTCAAGCCACAGGCTTTATTAAGTTTTGCATGAAATCACCCTATCCGGAAGTGCTTGACAAGCAAAATATTACGAGTGTTGCGAGGGGGAGTAATAAAAGAGGAGGAGCAGGAGGAGCAAAGAAATCGTGGACAATCGATCTCGCAATTTCAGACGCCACGGAATTTTACACCCGCCTGTATTCCCAACCTTCCCCTTCATCCCTTATTCCTCTCCGTCAGAAATCAAACAATTGGTTTTATTAAAGTTTATACGAGCGCGTCTTCCATCCTCTGTGTTACACACCGCTACCGCTACTTCTATTACTTCTGTTACTCTCCACTGATATTACGTTGCCTAGAATATGGAAGTGCTTGGCGCTTGTAACCGGGAAACTCATATACAGTGTACACGGGGTCTGCGGGCTGCTTATTGCGCTCAGTGACTTCGGGTGTAAGATGTGGGACTGCGACTTACTGCGTGTGTCGTCTGCATTGTCTTTATTTTCCTCGCGGAGGGACCGGCAACCGCGAGAATGAGAAATTATAAAACTGGTTGGTTAACTGCTGCACGCACGTACTTGAGACGTATTACGTCCTTCGATTATATTTGCAACTCTAATTTCAATTTTTTCAATGTCACTTTATTAATTCTTTGATAAATCAGATGCAATCACATCAAATGAATTAAATGAATTAATTCACAATTATAACATATCGTATTGATATAAATATATTACAATTGATTGTAAGTTATTTTCAGTGGAAATAAGCAAAACATGAATCAAGTGAAGTATTTCTGAAATTTTTGTCGGGAAATTGGACCGATTTTATATTAAACATCTTCTTTATACCTTACGTATTTTTCTATTTATCAAGTTCCTATAAATTAATTATATTAAACCCGCTAATATCATAAACATAATTAATCGATTGTTTACGTGAATTTTATCACGTCTATATAAAATTTTGACAACAATCGAACAAAGTAAATTTTAATAACGCGTGATTGTAACAATGATTTTGAAGATAATCCTCTATAATCATATAAATATTGTATATTGCGATATATTGATAATTGTAGTAATAACTTATATTTATATAAATAAATATATAAATAAATAATTACTAGAAGTCAACCACATGATATTTTTGTAACATCATACTGATGAATTAAATTCTCAAAATATAGATATATGAATATGTAACTTTCAACACCACGCAGAGACTAGTAAATTGTCTCTTTTGTTTGGAGAAAGACAGCAAATCCGAAATTTTACTTTCATTACTATTTATAAAGACACTATATTACAGGCATGATGTTGGAAAAGATTATTTATACTAGTACATTGAATGTAATATTTAATATTCTTGAAACGTTTCATTTCTAAATCAAGCTTCAATTCATTCAAGATTAATAACACGACGTTACGTAAACAGCGCGTAATAAATACTCTCACTTAACTCGCTATTAAAAACAAAAAAGAATTAATATTACTGACTCGTGAATCAAACACGTCCATCAATTTTGTGTATCACTTTCTTCCCTCGACTATCTCTGACACGATAAAACAAAGAGGACAGAAAATATCCAATTTTGTACTATCTTTCCACACCAACAGTTCTCAATACAGTGAAACGAGATAACACGGAGAGAAATCAATTTTCACTCGCTACATTATCAACTTTAATACGCGTACACGCGATCCCGTGATACGCGTATCGACAATTTCCCCGACGCCTTAATACATCAAATTTCAGATTAAACTGCCGGAACGTGGCAGGAAAATTCCGTTTTTCCTTTTTTCTTTTTCCTTTTTTTTTTCTTTTTTTGCGCGCGCGCGGTGCTAATATTGCGCGACTTCTACCCACTACCGTCGTCGTTACCTCTCTCACCCTTTCTTTTTTTACACCCTGAAGGTCTAGTAAACAGGAAATACGTTGACACCAGGCTGTTCCATTTCCCCAATCAATATCTCCCACGTGTGTTGCCAGCCATTGTTACATGGGGATAAACTTGCATATCTCGAAATTTTATTTCGGGAGAGAATATAGATGTCTCGCACGTTAGCCCACTCCAATTGCCAACCCAAATCATGATTTCATTAGTATTCGCATTTCTTAAATTGTTGCGTTAGAATACATTTATATACAACTATATTCGTGTTGGCAACCCATTGTTAGCAATGAATGAGTGAAAATGAACAAACTTTTGGAGTGCAAGTTGTCGCGAAAGTGAGTTTTTTTAGGAGTAATAAGGATGGCATCTCCAATTTTTTTGGCAAATAAATTTAAATCCTCGAAAGTAGAGAGTATTTTTGTGCATATGTCAAATTTTAAAATGGTTTATTTTAAATGTACATCGTTACCTTATCATTGTCACTTGCATATTGTCGTTTTTAATACAACGTAAGTTTTTAAACTAGGAAAATTAAAGAATAGTTTATTTTAATACTACGAAGGATCTGTAGTAAGTATTAATATATTAAGAATTCTATCGAAATACAAAATTTTATTATTTACTGAATATTAAAAATAAAAATGGTCTGAGAGTTTTTTAAAGCAAGAATGTGCATGTATCAAAGCTCTTATTTATACCTAAACGAATTCTTGCCTGTTGAATTCACTTACCTAAATTCTCATTGTATTTATGAACGAAAAATCATAATCAATGGACTCCTACTATACAAAGTCTAATTATATAAAGAAATGTCCTTCAATAAAATTCACACAAACGGAGCTTTAGTGAGATACAATTTCACTATCACTAGTCATTTGGCATACAGTTTTTATAGCAACTAATATGAATATTGTTATATAATGTACTATATAAAAACACTTTTGACATTTCAATAATACTATAATGAGACCGAATTGTCATGATTACATTGATATTTAATACAAGTAGAGATCGCACAAATATTTGAACAATCACAATTCATTATTTCTTATATTTAGAAATTTTATATCGAGCATGAATTTAATTTATAAAATTAATTTATAATTAATTTATAAGAAATTAATTTATAGTTAATTTATAAGAAATTAATTTATAAGAGAACGTTTTATATAACATTTTATACATAAATGTTCTTCTTATTATTAGTAAATGTTCAAATTATAGTGATAACAGTTTCGAGTTGCAATAATAAATTTATCCAATAATTAAAGGGATATTTCTTTCATCACATATTCTATCACGTTTAAAAAACTGCAATCTTTCACTTGGGGCAACAAGAAATTAACTCTGGGTAACAAGTATAATAATTTTGCAACAGATCATAGAATATAAATAAATAAAATTGTATATATAATATAAATATAATTAATATAATATAAATTTAATAATAAAAATAAAACTAATGAAAATCATAAGAATAAAATTAATATACATTAATATGTAGATTTTTAATTGCTTGAAAAACTAAAAGCGGAGGTTTTATTGCAACGACCCCTTCAATTTCATTCCTCTCGTCTCGTAATTCTTTTATTACGATGAAACGTTTAAGTTCGGCAGAGAGCAGTCTGAAGCGCGCGGCTTCCCCCTTGTCAAAACTCGAGTCGCACGAGTCGAAGTCTTTGAACTTCGTTGCTTTCTCGTTGTCTTCCCTTTTGATGCCTTCGCCAACGAGCATTATACAACGCACAAAGGATTATGACGTTATCCGTCGCTTGCTGGTGAACACAAGATACAGCCAGCGGTGTCTGTGGCTACACTTTGAACTTTGTTCTAAAGTTCACGCGCATAAGGAGTGCCGGGCATTGTCTACGCTTTAATTGACCTGACATCAACGAACGCGAACACCAAGCTGGCAAATGAGATTGTTGCCACGCGCATCGACCATCGAACCGAACTCGCGCTTTCGTTGCGTGTTTCAGGGCTACACATCCTTGCTGTCTGCGATGAATGCCCTAACTGCTTTATATACTTCCGTCGTTCGCGGAACAATGGCGGCAGACGGGCCAAGTTCTCGCGATGCGATCGCAGCCTCCTCAACTACGAAGGTTAAAGACGTTACGCGATACCGGCCAAGTTTCCACAGTTCGAATCAATTATTGGAGACCCATTTTGCTGCTTGTTTTGTAATATTAAATCCCGTACGAATGTTAGGGGCGTCGGTTTTTATTATTATTATTATTATTATTATTATTATTGTTG